AGCATTTTGCTTTTTAACATCATTTTGAGTTTTATCACTACTGAATGATTTACTTTTTAATGGCACATATTACTGTTGTGTGTTAAGAAGGAATGTGATCTCTATTTCCTGGAAGGTTTCTTTTTCACTTGGTTAATTAAGATAACTTCTTATGAGAGGCTTCCTCAGGTTAGATTTAAATATTAGTACTCAAATAAGACCTATCAATGTTCATACAGTTATAAAGACTATAATATTTGCTTTTCTCAATTGGCTTTTTTGCTTTCCCTTTCTGTCCCATTAGTGCATTTATTTTTAGTGTGCAACAATTACCATGAATTTTTAATAGAACCTTTCAGTCCATTTTTATAACTTTAAATACTTAATAGGTCCATGAGCAATACGCAATATTGTTTTCTGAGTTAAATGTATAGAAATGATATGAAACAATCTGTATCATTATACACTTGTTTTCTTCCCTCAGGATTATATTTGAGTTCCGTCAAAAAAAAAAACACCCTTATATTCTATTTTATTCATTTTTTTCAAAGAATTAACTCTAAGTTTCTTTGATCAATTTTATTGTTTCTTTTGGTCTATTTTATTCATGTAGCAGTTACCTTTATTATCTCCTCTTTAGCCTGATATATATGTAACTACATCAGCTTTTTTTCCTGCTAAATATTTGTCTTCTCATCACTGTTTAACATCCTATCTTCCAGAGTTCTACATTTTTATGTTTAGATATTGTTCCTAATGAACATCATAGAGCTTTACATAATTTTTATCTTTGTTATGATTTTGATTCCATCTTATTTTTTCTTTATTTTTAATTATTTTAAAAAATATTTTAGATATTTAGGGGGTGCAAATGCAGATTTCTTAAATGCATATATTGTTTCATGGAGGAGCCTGGGTTTTTAGTGCAATACAAAAAAAAAAGCCTGGGCTTCGGTTGTACCATTACCTGAGTAGTGAACACTAATCAATAGGTAATTTTTCCATCTTATTTTCAAATCCCCAAACTATACAAGCTTATTATTAATGATTGCTTCGATTTATACATGTATAAATCAGTAGTTTACTCAATACAACTTATTGCATCCCATTCTTTTTCTCTGAATTCCGTTTTCTTCTCCTTAATGTATATGGTCTTCCAATGAGGGTCTGTAAGTAAATATTCTGAAATATCTTTGTTTTATCCTCACTCTTGAATATGGGATATTAACCTTAACCCCCAAATCCACATGAAATGCAGGCTCATGATGCTGAATTCTCAGAAAAGTTGTTCCTCCTACCCCTTCTTTTTCCAAGGCCCAGTAGATAAAGACAAGCTTACTTATCATTTCCTACTCATACTTCCCACTACCCACCTTGGATTTCAATGTGTTTTTTTATTTCTTTTTTCAATGTGTTAAATGCCACATAGAACTATGGATCAATGTGTTTTTATTGTCCTATGTTTTTATATATTATTGTACGTTACTATGAGACTTAAAAAAAACACTGAAAGATATTGGCTGTGTGCCACACTGTGAAATTAGTCTTGTTTCATCAGTGAGCAATTTTCTAACTTTGCTTTTGTTTCTATCTCTAGAAAAACAATTTAGTATAATAATCATATAATCCAGACAATATATTTTTATCAATGTCGCTACTGTATTACTATAGGGATAAAAATTAGAAAGAAAACATTTATAAGACAAACAGTTGTAGTCATTAAATAATTTACCCTAATCCACGAATCATAAGCTTCTCTTCTTCTTTGCCCATTCTCACACTCAGCAGGGACCGAATCTGACCAAGGGACGCCAGCAGGTTGATGGTGTCCTCCACGGACACACCATTTATCGTGTAGGTCTTTGGCAGGGCCCGAACAAGACCCCCAATGCCATCATACTGCCGATGGAGCAACACAAACATGGCCCTCACCAGCTCGGGGTCTTCAATGACAGACTCCTGAGCCCATCGGACCATGGTCTCAGAGATCAGCTGCTGCAGAGTGGCTGCCAAGTCATTATGGGTATTTTTTAAAAGAAAAATAAGAGAAGACAAATCAGTTGGACATTTCAAGTCCATATCCTGTACCCCCAAATTGGCATTTCTATTTGTACCAGACTTGAAAAGGCTCTAGATATTCTTTGAAGAAAATAACCTTCATTGGATGATACATATTTCAATACAGATCAGTTACAATCATGCAAGGATAAAACAATATACAAACCTTTCTTTAAAAATCATTCTTATAATTAAATAAGCTATAGTTATATCACTTTTTCAATTACTATTGGCAATTCATATGTAATTGAAGGTATGGTAATTAATATAAGGTGTCCTACTACTTTTATTTGTTTTGTTCTATTATTTTCTTCCCAGAAGGCCTGACATCATTTATCCCTATGAAGTTCAGTCATGGACATTCAGAAAGTATCTGTTTATCCAATTATCTCCTCAGTTGAGTCACCTGCACTAGTGACTACATGTAATTATGTTTTCACCTAAAGTTGTATCCATATTTGTCATTTTAAATGTCTTCAAAAGGATTTGATTGTGAATTTATATTAAAGTGAAAAGTTACTACATACATAGAAAATTACTTTGCAATGTAACATGAAACATAGTAAATTTAAAAGCAATAGAAATATCCAAATCTTTTCAAATAAACAGCAAAATTACCAAAATTAAGTGGCGTGACCAATTCGTGCACAATGAGGCACTTAATCCTAGCATTAATATGCTGCTTGGTTTTCAAATTAGGCTGTTTTACTTTCATCTAGAAATTACTTAAGCAAAAACAAAAACTACCATTTTCAACCAAATACAAAATGCAAATAAAATGCCAATATAATCCCCTATATCTCAAAACCACACTGTTATTTTAATCACTCAAGATCATAAACTTGATAATAATAGAAAGTGATTCATAAGAAACGTTGAACTCTGCCATGCACAGTGGCTCACGCCTGTAATCCCAGCGCTTTGGGAAGCCGAGGTGGGTGGACTGCTTGAGACCAGGAGTTCAACACCAGCCTGGCCAACATGGTAAAACTCAGTCTCTACTAAAAATATAAAAATTAGGTGTCTTGGTGCATGTCTATAATCCCAGCTACTTAGGAGACTGAGACAGGCAGGCGGAGGTTGCAGTAAGCCGAGAAGGCGCCACTGCACTCCAGCCTGGGTGATGGAGCGAGACTGTATGGAACTCTGATTTTAAAAAAAACTTGACTCAAATTTGTGACTGTGACACTGAAAAATAAATTTAGAAGTAACCGTATGAATAAAGGTTTTCTGCTGTAAGTTAGAAAAAAAAAGTGCTGTAAAAGTTTTCATAAGTTTATTTTGTTTTTATTTCAGGGAAAGCTATTAAGAAACCACTGCAGCATCTTAAAATCAATGCAGTCTTAGAAGAGAAGTAAAAAGTAGGCTGGCTAGATCCCTCAGACCTACTCAGAGTGCGGTGCCCGAGGGACTCAGAGCCTACGGGTGCTTGCTTGGTTGTAAGGAGTAGCAGCCATTATTCTTAAATAGAATATGGATCAACCACAAGTGTCTAACAGTTTAGGAAATATTTCAGAACCAAGATATAAAGACAATATCTGTTTAAATTTTAACAAAAAAGTTTAATTTGATGCAATAATATCTGAAAATCAACCTCATATTTAGATATGAAGGCTAAATTACCATACTTCCTTTTAACTTTCTCTTCATAATCTCTGATAAAATACCTAAATTTCTAGTACTCTATGGAGACTATCCATCCTTATCATGCTGCTACCTCTCAGTCTGTTGCTAGACACATAGACTGATGCTGCTGTCTATCTCTGGGAGCTACAGGCATCTACTTAAGAGTCTGATTCTTGGAAGTTGCAAACTCAATTATCTCACTGGCTCATCTAGTAGAACATTCATTTAAAGGATGAGTTAAGTGTTAGCCGTTGGGTCATTTTGCCCGTGCCCTCTTAGACTGCTTACAGGACTTTTTGGAGTCACTCTCAACTGGTTTTTCTGCTTGTTTCTTCTTCAGGTATGTCACCTTTTCTACCAGGGATAGCAGACGCCCTCTAATTGTTAAATCACTGTTTCCATCCAGAGACCCATCTTCATCCAGCTCAATTCCTAGTATAACAAAACAGAGAGTCAGAAAAAAAATATTTAAATAATACACTTGGGCAAATAATTCTGAGGCCTTGCAATTTCTTTCATGCACAACTTAGAGCAACGTCAAAAAATGTCTGACATTAAGTTAAGCAATCTTGCTTACCAGCCCTCATAAATAACATTCACTTGTCAGCTTCTTTTCTTCCTCTCTCTTTTTGTTCTATTCCTGTGGGCTCAGGGCTACTACCCAGAACAAAATATAACACTGAGCAGACACCAAAAAGACTCTCTTAGGGGCAAAGCTGAATCCTGCTATTTTGGCTGACCCCGGGCAACCCAAAACTCAAAAAACGGCCGCCCAAAACTACACACCACACCCACCCAAAAAACACCCCCCAGACACTAAAACTCCCCTCTCGCCCCCAAAAAAATTAGAAAAATATTGGGGAGAGGAGAAAAACAGAGAAAACACACAAAAAGAGACACCAAAAAACAGAAAACGCTATATATCAAAAAAAAAAACTAAAAAGTTAAAAAACACCCCTATATCTAGAGACAACAGAAACAAAAAAAAAAGGGAAAAAAAAAAAAAAAAAAATATATATATATACACACACACACACACACACATATAAAGAAGACATACAGAAAGAAATATATACACACACACACACATACACACACACATACATATACACACACGTAGTATAATTTTCTGGGAGTCATTTAGTGGTACTTCATTCATAAACCAAATTAATATGCAAAGTGGTGTTTTTATTATCTTCATTAAAATAAGATAACCAAAGGTTAAACCAGTGGTATTATTTTTATCTGTAACTTTAAAAACAGCTGGTTCATTTTCTTTTATTGAATCATCAGACCTCATCTACACCACTGCATAAAGGAATAAACACACACACACACATCCAGAATACCTAATCGATTCCATTTTTAAAGTTTTTAGAATAAAAGGAGGGGAGATTTCCCTTAACAGATCTGGATTACTGACACACAACTCAGTGTAGGGTTTCCATAGGCATTCACTAATTTCAAAAGATATAGTCTAAATTTTCCAGAAAGTACTCCCTCAACTGCTTTAAATACAACTGTTTGTGATCAAATTTCTTTCTTAAAAAAGAAAAAAAAAAAAGCAGTTTCATTGAGGTTACTATAAACAAAACTGTACATGTTTTATCTATGCAACATGAGCTTGGACATAC